GGCAGTCAAGCCAACCATCACTCCCAGTTTGGGAGCTGCCCAGTGCTCCCAGTGCTTCCAGTTCTCCCAGTTGAGGAGCTACCCAATGTTTCCATCACTCCCAGTTCTCCCAGTTGGGGAGCTGATCAAACCAACCATCACTCCCAGTGCTCCCAGTTCTCCCAGCTGAGGGGCTGCCCAGTTTTCCCAGTTGGGGAGCTGCTCAATGCTCCCATCACTCCCAGTTCTCGCAGTTGGGGAGCTGCCCAGTGCTCCCAGTGCTCCCAGTGGTCCCAGTTGCAGAGCCACCCAATGCTTCCATCACTCCCAGTTTTCCCAGTTGGAGAGCTGCTCAGTGCTCCCAGTTAGGGAGTTACCCAATGCTTCCATCACTCCCAGTACTCTCAGTTGGGGAGCTGCCCAGTGCTCCCAGTTCTCCCAGTTTGGGAGCTGCCCAATGCTTCCATCACTCCCAGTTCTCCCAGCTGAGGGGCTGCCCAGTTTTCCCAGTTCTCCCAGTACTCCCAGTTGGGGAGCTACCCAATCCTCCCAGTTTGGGAGCTGCCCAGTGCTCCCAGTTCTCCCAATTCTCCCAGTTTGGGAGCTGCCCAATGCTCCCATCACTCCCAATTCTCCCAGTTTGGGAGCTGCCCAATGCTCCCATCACTCCCAGTTCTTCCAGTACTCCCAGTTTGGGAGCTGCCCAATGCTCCCATCACTCCCAGTTCTCCCAATTCTCCCAGTTTGGGAGCTGCCCAATGCTCCCATCACTCCCAGTTCTCCCAGTACTCCCAGTTTGGGAGCTGCCCAGTGCTCCCATCACTCCCAGTACTCCCAGTCGGGGAGCTGATCAAACCAACCATCACTCCCAGTGCTCCCAGTCCTCCCAGTCACGGAGCCACCCAAAGTCTCCTCACCGACCCATCACCCCCCCACCCCCCTCCCCGCCTTACCTGCCGCAGGTTGCGCGTCACGCGCACGTGGTGCCAGCCTCCGTCGTGGAATTTGCCATTGACCGGCTCCACCAGCGCCTCGAAGGCTCCGGCTCCCAGGTTGATCACGAGCCACACGGCCCCGGCCTTGAGGGACAGGTTGAGGAAATCGGCGGCGCGGCCGGTGTGCAGCAGGAGCCCGTGACGCTGCCGAGTGCGGAACGCCAGAGCCAACTCATCGGCGCTGCTCTGCACCGGAGAGCGCGACACGTCATAGCAGAAAAACTCCGAGCCCCGGAACGTGGCCACGTACTCGGCACGGCCTGGAGGGGGGACACGGCGGGACACGGCGTGGGGTGGTGGAAGAGGGGACAGGGGGGAC